ATATTGAGAATTTTCTTATTTTTTATATTGTTATACTCTTCGTTTGTTATATAAATTATATATATAAATATATTAATATATTATTAAGTAAATCTAAGACAACACTATGGATACATATAATTATTTATCATAACTATTTATAAAAATCTTAATTATGAATAAGGATCCAATATACATTAAAATAAAATTAGAAAATATTTTTAGTTACTTTTATTTTGTGATTTAATAGGTATATTGTATCTTCTTTTTATTATTAAATTATTATAAAATTACAAAAAAAAATATTCTTATTTATCAGGTAATTATAGTTAACATTCTTTATTCATGACATAATTCTTCTTTTAGTAATTTTTTTATTATTTAATTAAAAATATAGTAAAAAAGTGTTAACTATAATTACATCATGGATGAAAATATCTTTTAAAATTTTATAATAATTTTTTCTTATTAATTTGTCTTTAATAATTACTATGATTTTTATTAAATAATTATAAAATTACAAAAAAAAATTATGTCATGAGTAAAAATTTTAGCTATAATTATGTCACGAATTAAACTATTTTTGTAATTTTATAAATTATATCATATATCATTTTTATTCCGTCGAAAATTAATTTTATGGTATAGATGCTTATGACCCCCCCTCCCCTCAATTAGGTGGCCCTCCATTTGACATGTCACTTGATAAGTTGAGTATAACTATTTTGTAATTATATAATAATTTTTATAGTTAACTACAAATATTTTTGGTAATTTTATAATTATTTAATAAAAATATAGTGATTAGTAAAAACAATATAACTATAAAACTAAATTATTATAAAAATTACAATAATAGTTATATTCAACTTACCATGTGGCATGTTAGACGGATGGCCACACAATTGGAAGAGGAGGTCATAAGTGTCTATACCATTAGTCAATTTTAGACAGAATAAAAAAGACATATGATATAATTTGTAAAAGTACAAATATTGTTTTATTCATGACATAATTTGTTTTAAATTTTATAATTATTAAATAAAGAGGTATACTAATTATTTAAAACATTATTTAATAAAAAAGTATAGTAATTATTAAAAGCAAATTAACTACAAAATTAAATTATTATAAAATTACAAAAATAGTTTCATTCATGACATAAATATAGTTAACACATATTTACTATATTTTTTAATAAATAATAATAAAATTATAAAAAAATAATTATGTCATGAATAAATGTGAACTATAATTATCTGATAAATAAAAATATTTTTTTTTTATTTTATAATAATTTGATTTTGAAAAGAATCTAAAGAACACCTATTAAAAATAACACTTCATAAAATAAAAGTAAATAAAAATATTTTTTTAATTTTATTTTAATGTATATTGTATCCTTATTCATAATAAAATTTTTATAAATAATTATAAATAATTATATATATATATTATTAATAATTTTATGTTAGAGTTACTTAATAATATTTTATACTAAGTAATATAATATATATATAAAAAATAATTTATATACAAAATAAGAGCATAACAATATAAGAAATAAAAAATAAATCCCTCTCTATTTCTATAAGCGCGAGTTTGCTGGGGTCTGCTGCTGACACGTGGCTGCAGCCCTGCAACCCTTCTTTTGTGGTTAATATTTTTTTTTTTAGCCTACAGCCCAATATTAGAGAGATGGTTGGGGGTGTTACGTTGGTTGGGCCTTCTTTTTATGTTCAAAGGCCCAATGCTTTCAACTTTCACATATTCCATTTATTCTTTGAATTGTCCAAAATATCTTATGGATACGTGGCAATGTTTTTATGGCTTTGTCGTCCTTTTTTTTTCCCACGCGTTTAAATCTCTGTATTTTTTATTTGGGTTTCTCCCTTTTTACTTTCCCAAATTCAAAATCTTGTGCACATTTTCTATGCCCTTTTGTTTTACTTCAATTTTGTTTTTCTTTTTTTTCTTTTAATCGGCTTTCAACATTATTCTGTGTACACAAGAAGTTGATGAGGTGTCTTTCTGCTTTCTCTTTATTACTATTTTTTTGGTACATAATATTATTACAAAGATAAATTTCATTTACACTGAAAAATAATTATATTTCATTGTGTCAATTAGGTTTTCTTCGTGCTCTTTAAGATTGACCGTTTGTTTTGCTTAACTTTCAGTCTGTTTGCTTCAATTACATCTATTGGTTCCAACTTCCAATTAATGCAAAGCATTTCATCAAGAAAAAACTACAAAGCAACAGCTCTTAACTGGTTTAAAATAAAAAAATAAAAAAAAAAAAAAAAAAAAAAAAAAAAAAAAAAAAACATACTACAGCAGTGAGCCATGAATGTTTCGATGAGAGATGAATGTTTAATTAATACTAGAGCTATGTCTACTGATTCCAAAATCGTATTAATAGGAAGCCATTCATCAACAAAAGATTATAGAACTGAGGCTCTTAACCGATACTCCCTCCTATTTTTAATAAGATGTCGTTTTGAGAAGTTGAACAATAATTAAGAATATTTTTCTTCCAATAATAACCCTCATTAATGAGGATAGAGATGAATGTTTTAAGAAAAAATGAATAGTGAACATGAAAAGACGTAATGTATTTATTAGCTAGATGAGGATATTGATGGAAAAATATGTATAAAAGATCTAAAACGACAATTATATAGTTAAGAGTTGATAAAGCTAAAATGACATTTTAAAAAATAGGAGGTAGTATAAAATAAAAAAGTGTATCAGAGCAGTGAGAAATAAATGTTTACTTAATACTGCAGTAAAATCAGCTACACATCATGGTCAAGTATCTAAGAAGTCGGCAAATATTAAATTCACAAGGACTAAAAAAACTAAAAAAAAGTGTTGATGGGCGTTCTTTACTGGAATTAATACCATCTGAGCCCAGTTTTTTGGCATCACAGCCGAACTGTATCTATTGTAGTGCCAAAAAATTATACCGAGAGACGTTGCATTTGTAAGTTAAAATTGTTTTGGTATGTGAATTTCAAGAAAAATGGCCTTAAGAAATAGAAGAAATTTTGGTAAAACGAACAAAATCGAGGCAAGTAAAATGCGCTCTCCTTAAGAGGAAATATTGTGAGTTCATAAGATGGCAACAAGGAAACCAAACAAATGCTCAACCTACCGCTATACCGATGGTAGCTGCTCCTCTTAACCGATTTAAAATAAAAAAAAAATGTACTAGAGCGGTGAACCAGAATGTTTATTTAATACTGGGGTTAAATCTACTGCGTCCTGGTCAGGTTTCTAAAAAATCAGTAAACATAAAACATACGAGAAAAAAAATGGTACAAAAATGTCGATGGTCGTGCTTTACTAGAGTCGATACCATCAAAACCAATTTTATTTTTGCCTCAAAACCTAATTGTTTGTACTGTAGTGAAAAAAATATAACGGAAGAAAATATTTAATAATCGTGGTTATTTTTCTACTCAATTCGAATATTAACATGGGCCGGTTGTGCATAGCACAGCCGCCAGGCTCCTAGTTCAAAATAGTCTCACTAGTTCGAGTGTTAAGAAAAAGTGTGACCTCTGCGCCACATGGACTATGGGCCTTTCGGACCTGAAATCAAATCAAAAATCTTACTTTCGATCACAAAATCACATCAAAAATCTTACTTTTGATTATTTTTTTAATATCAAAAATCTTACTTTCGATCACAAAATCGCATCAAAAATCCTACTTTTGATTATTTTATTAAAATCGTGAAACTCTTAAGCAACTTTCACTATTTTGCAAGACCAAAATTAGCAGCCCCTGCGACTATTTTAAATTTCCCCCTCAACTATTTTAAAGTTTCCCCTAAATCTAGTGAATTGCTATTTACCGCCCCCCTCACCGCCCCCCACAATTACGAAAATACCCTTTACTCTATTTCTCTCTACTCTCTCTCTCTCTCTAATCTCTCTCTCTCTAAAATCGAATCTTCAACGAGCCATACGAACATCAAAAAAATTTCGAAAAAATGTCGAAAAAATCCTACGGTCTCGGCAAAGCGTTCTTCGCTAAGAAGGTAATTTTTTTTTACAATTTAAATAATTTTAAAAATTTATTTTTAAAAATCTGGAGCCGCGTCCGGTCCGAGGCGGGCCGTGCGGCACCCATTTCCGTACGGCCCGCGGGCGACCGGTCTCCTTTACCAGTCGCCAATTGAAACGTGCGGCCGGACCGGGCCGCACGATCGGGTCTCTGTCCGGCTTGGGGGGCCGGTCGTACGGTGACCAAACCGGCCCCTCCGGCCGGTGACGAACCGGCCGGACGTTTTTTTTTTAATTATATTATAATTAAATAATAAAAATAATTATTCTAATATATATTAATAAATATTATAATATAAAAAAAAATAAAAAACGTAAAAAGAAATTATAATAATAATATTTATGAAATAAAAGAAAAAAAAAATTACATTAATAAAGAAAAAAATATTATAATATATTTATTTGAATATTTAAAAACTAAAAATATTAGCATAATAATAAATATAATAATTATAATATAAAAGAAAAAAATATCACATTAATAAAGTAAAAAATATTATAATATATTTATTTGAATATTATAAAATTAAAATATTAGCATTTAATTAATAATAATTATAATATAAAAGATAAATAAATATAAAATAAACTGGTTACTTTATAAAATTAATATATTAGCATTTAAAAACATATATGTAATAATTTAAAAAATATGTATATAATTTATTATAAACATGTATAAAAACATTTATATAATAATGTTATTATATAAATGAATATATGTAATTATCGTATTATATAAATTTAAAAAAAAAACATTTACTAATTATTACTTTAAATTTTTCATTTAGGGTATTGTATACCTGAACAGCTGGCCGTGACGAATCGGCCGACAATATTATTCACGGTTCTAGAACCCGACACGTTATAAGTCGGGGTATAAATGCGTCCGGTCGCCGCACTCGGGAGGAGGCGATCAAAGAGGCTCGGATGTTACAAACTGGTCAGGTTGGCCAGTCCGACAGTTCGAGACTCCACGCACCAGCTGTACCGGTTGGTTAGCAAGGGTATGGCCAGGCAGGCAGTTCCAGAGTCCCCGTCCCCGGACCATTACTGTACGATCATATGATCAACAGAGATATTATTATGCTGGCCAGGCAGGCAGTTCGATACCCCGTGCACCAGCACCGCACGGTCAGCAGGTATATTATGCTGATGAGTCGGTAGCCCAGACGGGTCTTCTGACGAGTCCGCATCATATGACGATGCGTACGATATTTCTTCTCCTGGACCCCCACCGCATCATACACCTCCTGCTCAGCATACACCTCCTGCACAGCATGCGTCTCCTGCACAGCCTGCGGCTCCTGCACAGCATACGGCTCCTGTTCAGCCTACTATTCCACGACAGGCTGGTGGGCGTTTTGCTAGCACTGGATCCTCAGGTAAATAATTTAAGTATTTTTATTTCGTTTGACATTAAAATTTCGACTTAATCGCAACAAATTATCAGTACTGTTAGTGACATTATTTCAATTATGTATTTATATATTTGTCTGTTCTATTCTAATGTAGGTACTAGCAAACGATCTAGGACTGATGATGGGGCAGACTGGATCATTAGAGGTCCAGTTCCCGGTGGGCCCATGGATGGTACTTGCCGTAGAACCCATGGATGGTACTTAGCGCTACTAATTTGGTTCTTAACTGAGAGAAGTGCCATTTTATGGTACGAGATGGTATTGTTCTTGGCCACAAAGTCTCGTCTGAAGGATTGGAGGTAGATCGGGCAAAGATTTCGGCTATTGAGAAGCTGCCACCTCCTGCGAATGAAAAGGCTATTCGGAGTTTTCTTGGGCATGCCGGTTTCTATAGAAGGTTTATTCGTGACTTTTCTAAAATTTTGAAGCCTTTGAGTCAATTACTAGAAAAAGATCTTGCTTTTAATTTTTCTGCTGAGTGCTTGCAGGCATTTGAGACGTTGAAGAAAGCATTGGTGAGTTCTCCAATTTTGGTGGTCCCCGATTGGTCTCAACCATTTGAGATCATGTGTGATGCGAGCGATTTCGCTGTTGGAGCAGTGTTGGGCCAGCGACGTGATAAGCTTTTCAGAGCCATTTATTATGCGAGCAAGACACTTGATGGAGCCCAACAAAATTACACAACCACAGAAAAGGAGATGTTAGCCATTGTCTATGCCTTTGACAAATTTCAGGCTTATTTGATTGACACCAAGACGATAGTGCATACAGACCACGCGGCAATCAAGTATCTATTTGACAAGAAGGATGCTAAGCCACGCTTGATTCGGTGGATTCTCTTACTACAAGAGTTCGATGTTGAGATTCGTGATCGTCGAGGTTGCGAGAATGTTGTGGCAGACCATTTATCGAGGCTTGAGTATAAACGGCAAGAGGCCGATACCACCAGTGATATTAAAGAGGAATTTCCAGACGAGCAACTCTTTATGACTGAGGCCAAATTTTCTTGGTACGCCGACATCGTCAATTACTTGGTGGCCGGGGTCTTACCTCCGGACTTGTCATTTTATCAGAAGAAGAAATTCCTCCATGACGTGAAGTTCTATATGTGGGATGAGCCTCTTCTCTTTAAGAGGTGTGCTGATATGATCATTAGAAGATGTGTTCCACAATAAGAGTGGGATGGAATTCTTCAACAGTGTCACTCTTCACCGACGGGTGGCCACTTTGGGTCAGCTCGTACCGCGGCAAAGGTATTACAAAGTGGTTTTTATTGGCTGACTTTATATAAAGAGTGCTATATTTTTGTGAATCAGTGTGATCGATGCCAGAGGATGGGCAATATTTCTAGGCACCATGAGATGCCTATGACGAATGTGATTGAGGTCGAGTTGTTCGATGTATGGGGGACTGATTTCATGGGCCCGTTCCCTTCATCATGTGGGAACCGGTATATATTACTTGCTGTTGAGTATGTCTCTCGTTGGGTGGAGGCAATTCCCTCGACTACCAATGATGCCGTTGTTGTTCTCAAGTTTCTCAAGAAGCATATTTTCACGCGGTTTGGAATCCCGAGAGCTTTAATCAGTGATGGGGGTTCTCACTTTGTGAACAAATTGATGGAGAAACTTCTTTCAAAGTATGGCGTCAAGCATAAAGTGGCCTTAGCCTATCACCCGCAAGCAAATGGGCAAGCAGAGGTGGCGAACCGAGAAATCAAGCACATATTGGAGAAGACGGTGAGCACAAATCGGAAGTATTGGTCGTTGAAGCTCGATGATGCACTTTGGGCCTATCGCACAGCATATAAGACACCATTGGGATCATCTCCATACATGCTTGTTTTCGGTAAGTCGTGTCATCTTCCGGTTGAGTTAGAGCATCGAGCTATGTGGGCTGTGAAGAAGATAAACTTTGATTTTCACGAGGCGGGTAAGAAAAGGCTTCTCGATTTGAATGAGTTAGAGGAGTGGCGTGATGAGTGTTACGAGAATTCGAGACTTTACAAGGAGCGAACGAAAAGGTGGCATGACCGGATGATCCACAAGAGAGAATTTTTTCCGGGAGAACAAGTCCTTTTGTTTAATTCACGATTGAAGTTATTCCCGGGAAAATTGAAGTCGAGATGGTCGGGGCCTTTTGTGATTAAAAAGGTGTTACCACCGGGAACAGTTGAATTGGTTGCACGAGACGGCGAGACCTTTGTAGTCAACGGACAACGGATCAAGCACTACTTTCATTTGTACCAAAATGAGAAGTCGTCCTACATCACTTTGAAGGAGCCGTGATTCTTACAGGCGTCTGGCTGAAGACGTTTAACTTAGCGCTAGTTGGGAGGCAACCCAACGGTTTTATTGCTTTCTTGTTTTTATTTTTGGTAGGAGTTTTTGTTTGATTTTATTTTTGTTTGTTTTTCCTATTCAAA